CTGAGTCTCTAATGAGCTTCCCTGGGCAGAAACATCACACACATTGCCGCATTTTCACTGCTGGGGAAGGAGTATGCTCTGTGATCCCTCCTGGGAAGGAGGAGCACTAGCAAGCCTGCACATGGATTCTGCATTCTGCTGTGTATCCTGGCAAGATCACTGCCATAATCCTAGCCACAAGAACAACTAGAGGCTAAGACCTGAGTCTTTTTAAAGGATCCCTGAATGTGGGAGGATCTTGGGAAACCCTGACACAGGTGGCTACACCACTGTGAGTGGCTGAAGCAGGATAGGGTTAGAGGAGGGCAAGAATGGAGGAGAGCAGACCAGCAAGGAACTGTTATAATCAATCAAGCAAGAAAGATGAACACCTGAATGAAAATCATGGCAGCAGAAATGGAGAGAATGGAAACTACTGTCAAGCTGTTTAGAAGAACAGATAATAGACTGACTAGAAGTGGAGGCTGAAGGTAATGGAAGAGCAAGAATGACTCCTGGGTCACCAATGTGGTGTGGATATTGATGTCATTCATGGAGAGAGAAACAGAGGTAGGACTGAAGGGAGAGCTAATGAGGACAGTTGGGAACATTTAGAATTTGTGCTGACCCCACATCTTTAAATGAGAAAACTCAGATGGTTCTGTTTCCCACTGGCCAGATAAATAATATCAATTATTAATGCTAATAAAATAACTTGAATTTTGAGAGTGTGAGTTTCATACTCAAAACTGAAAAGTTAAAGTATACCCCCAAGAGGCTGTAAAACAAAGAAGGCAGTTTAAGCCTTTTGTTATATAAATAAGTCATCTGTTTGTATTATTTATATGACATTCAAAAAGTATAAATGTACCTGTGGAATACATACTTGTATCCACACATATAAGTACAAAAAGAAAGAAAACCTAAGGAATAGGGATGAACCAGGTAATTCCAGAAATAGGAACTACGTTCCCCAAACAGGAAGGACTAAGCAGTATTGGGGCCACAGGCAACAGTCAAGTAGAAGAATGTGTGCCCTTAACCATGAACCAACCTCAGATTCTAAAGAGACAAAGCAGCTATGCAGACTTATCATTCCTCTTAGGAGATGAATCCTCCAGCTAGACTTATTAATTATAAGATACTAATAAGGCACAATCAAGTTTTCAAAAATGCCAAAAGACCAGATCAATATATATTTGCTGGTCAGTCTGGCAGTTTTTTTAACTCTATTCTATAATGAGTCCATTATATTTTTGGATATGTTTTGAGATTTTCTATTTTAGCTTATGTGGTTATCCTTTCCCGAAAATAAATTATTGTAGCATAGAGTTAAAAGCTGCCAGACAGACTAGGGTTATTTAATGAGTTATCCACTGGCCAAGCAAAACTTTAAAAGAATATTACCTTTAGGGTGAATACTAGTTTGAAAAAAGTAAAACCTATTGGAAAAAGCAAAAACATAAAGAAAAAAGCTTGCTGGAAAAACAAGTTCAGTGTAACTATTAAAAAAAAAAGTCAACCCAGAGAGGACAGATTGGTGTTTGAATCTTGCTAGAAGGAGGCACAGAGTGATATATACACAAATAGAAGCAAAGATATGTCATGAGTTGGTGCTAGAGCCTGTAACTTATGGTGTCTTTTCATTTTTGGTCTGTTAAGACTCCTCTATCCCCAAGAAAGTATCCAAATATTACCCTTGGACCCTAGGAAGATGTCAAAATTCGTATTTAGAGATACAGGAAAGCATATCTCAGTACAGGCTCTAGAACCAGACTGCCTGAAATTTATTATTATTTTTTTAATTGAGTTGGAGTCTCACTCTGTCGCCCAGACTGGAGTGCAGTGGCCGCTCCCGGCCACCGCAGCCTTGACCTGCTGGGCTCTAGCGATCCTTCCACCTCAGCCTTCCAAGTAGCTGGAACTACAGGCGTGCGCTACCACGCCCAGTTACTTTTTTGATTTATTGTAGAGATGAGGTCTCACTTGCCCAGGCGGGTCTTGAACCCGCGGGCTCAGGCAATCCACTCACCTCAGCCTCCCAACGCATGGGATTACAGGCTGAGCCACCGAGCCCGGCTGGACTGCCTGAAATTAAAACTCAGTTCTGCCTCTTCCTATTTGTGTGACCTGAGGAGTTCCTTAACTTCTGTCTCAGTTCGCCCATCTGTAAAAATGGAATAATGAAAGTACATATCTCATGCAGTTATCTTGATGCTTAAATAGAATAAAACTTATAAAGGATAATGTGCTAAGTAAAGTTTGCACTAGCTAAAAGTAATATTATAATCCTAGGAAGGTAGAAATAATGAAAATATTAACTACACTGTGTTGTAGTCTTACAGTAGGCTTAAGTGTAAGTGTTGTAATAACTTTGGAATCAAAGTACTGTATTTGTATATGTTGTCTAAAGCATTTTAGCTTTTTGAACAAATCAAACTACACCTGAAATTGCAGTTAAAACTGCTCAATGTTGAAATGCTTAAAGACAACTTTCAAAGTTTTGTTTATTAGATTATGACTACAATAAAGTGAACATTGAACAACTCGTAAGTGGTGATGAGCATAACAGCTCCCCGGCTACTAACCAGCCAGTTGAAATTCCCAAGGTGCTCACCATCTGTGGGCTCCTTGCCAGATAGACTTCACTCCCCATTAGGTTTGTACTCCACCAGCTGTCTCACTTCAGTACTCTCATTGAACCTCAGGACTCTCCCAATCCACCAAACTCACAAGGAGTTACTGCCAGCAAAGTATCACCTCACTTTTCTCTTTCCTATTAACACTTTTCAAGGTATTGCTGGAAAAAGATCCTTAAATTCACATTCTGTATCTTCACATGAGCCCTTGCCATTGCCTACCAAGCTTTTACTGCTCCCATCTTAGCTACATACCTATTCCAAACCTTTCTTCTCATCTACATAGCTATTCCTAACCTACATGGCCACCATTCACTTTGAGCATAACTGTGTCTTCTACACTTAAGACTTTAAAAATTGCATTTCAGGGAAAGGACTATGTGATAGAGACCTTTCCACAGGTATGGAATTAGTAACTGAAGCCTTGGGTGAGCTGATTTAAGCCATCAGTTGATTTCCAGTTGTTTAATACCTAACTTACAGAGCAGTTATAAATGGTAAATGAGATAATTAATATAAACCATTTATCATCCAGTTTGTTCAACAAATGAAAGTTCCTTTCCTTTCTACTGCGCATTCATGAATGCCAACCCATTCATCCACTCAGTCATCCCACTATCCAGTGAATATTTACCAAGTATCTGTTATGTGCCAGGCAGCAAGATGTGCGACTTCAACAAGACAAACGTCTATCTCCAGCACTTTACCTTTGGGTCCTATATGCTGTGTTCTACTTTCTTCCACTATTGTTTCCTCTCAGAATTTGTCCCTGCAACTGCCCAGTCTAATTTTCCCCCACCATCTTCCATCTCTCAAGTAGTTCCTCCTTGCATCTGTGGCTCCCTTATCTGAAACTGTCTTCACTGAGTCCCATGACCTTCCTCTACCAAAACAATTCTCATTTAGGCTTTCCTTTCATGCTCAAACTTCTTGGCTGAGCAGTACAAACTTACTGACTCCACATCATCACTCTTCTCTAATCCTTGTTATTCTGCTCTTGCCCTCCACACACCTGAAACTGTGTGCTTGAAAATTACCAGTGCACTTCTGATCTGGTTCCAGTGGTTCTTTCCTCTTTATTTCTGTACAGCTTTTGACTGTTTTGACAGGTTTCTGCTTCTTCAAGCGGTTACTGTAACTAGGAGATTGCACTAGTGTGACTTTCTTCCGAAGACTAAAACTGCTGTCTCCCTGTGACTTTTTCCCACTTTTGCCCTGGGAACAGGGATGCTGCCCATAGCACAGTTTTTGTACAGTTTTTTCTCCCTATCCCTCAAAAAGTGCATCCATACTCAAGGCTCCATTTTCCACCTCCACAGAGATGGTTCCCAAGTCCAGTCCCAACTCCTCTTCCAAATTCATCCTGCTTTTCCACACGACTGCAAAATTTGAATTAGGCATTCTGCCATCACCTCAAAACCATCTTTCTCTATGTGACTCCCACATCAACTCCTCTCCTTGGCTTTACATTTCTATCATATGTTCTATTACACTCCCAGGTGTCCCAAATTCAAACTCTTACCTCATTCTTTGCTCTCAATATAGTTACCAAGTCCTTCCAACTCTTCTTTTGCAATGTTGTTTGTATCCTTCCCTACCACTAACACCATTATAATTCAGGTCCACGACAGCTCGCTTCAAACTACCACATATTCCTAACTAGCTCCCTGCATTTAGTCCCTTTCTCTCTTTAGTCTTGCATGTGACCTCTAAAATAACTGCTCCAAGACAGGTTGTTGTTGTTTTTTTCCAGTTCCTAGATCAGACCTATACAATCCACCTTGCCTACTGGGTCTTGTCCTGATACTCTGTGCCCTGGCACCAGAACACTTCTCTTTATTCCAGTCTCCCACTGTTTATTGTACTCCAGTAGAAATCATCTCCCTCTCAAATCTGCCTGACGCTTTGCTACTTTCGTGATCTTTTCCACATCAAATCCTACCTCCTCCATGAAGCCACCCAAGCGGTGCGGAGGCCCAGGGCAGGCAGCTAAATGAGGCAATCTCAGGCGCTTTGTGGGAAACAGGGAGGGACGAGAGGGAGCACCCTAGATTTAGTGTCGATTCCACCCACGTTCATGAAGCACCACATTATGGGAAGAAGGAACGAGGGGAACGGAGGAAGACTCTACATGTCCAACTGAAAGTACGGGATCTGACATACTGTGGGTGCCCACCGCCCACGGCACACACTGCAGGGTGGGGGGCAACTTTCCGTCCGCACTTCTCGGAGCCGGGACGTCGCCACACACACTCCGCAAACGGGCTCCGCCCGCGTCACACCGTTCTGCTCCCACAGCACCTCCCCCTGGTTCTCAGTGTCCCCTTCTCTCGGCCGCTGGGCTCACTCCGCTCCGGGAAGACACACACCCGCAACCCTCACCTCCGGCACGGAGTGCCCGGGACCGGGAAGACGGCGCCTCTTCTGGTCAGGAAAGCAACGCGCTTGCGCACACTGCCTTGGTGTCCGCGCTCCCAATCAATGCGCTGTCTTCGCGTGGACTCCATCTCCCAGAAGTCTCAGCGCCCGGCGCGCGTTAATATGACGTAAAAAACATGTGCGAACCGTCGTGGATGCCTGGGAGACTTATGGTCACCCTGCAGTACTGCCTATGTCTGATGTCGTGTCCCTACAGTCCTCCTATGGGAGGGCCGGCCGAAGGAAATGTGTCGCTGATCCTTGTACCCAGTCCTTAACCCCGTGGAAGACCGAGACGACAGCGAGTCTTTCGGCGTTTGGCAGGGACTTGTTTCCGGTTCCGCATATCCACTTTCAGGATTTTTACTCTGAAGTCTAGGCCAGAGAGGCGTAGAATTTGGTTATGAGGACCCGAATGCAGATACAGGCAGGATCTGTGAACATGTTTGTGTCGGAAAAAGAGGGCAGGATACTCATGTATTTTAACCGCAGCCGTCACGACTCCCCAGGGTTGAGCGCAGACAGCCTGCCTTCGTTGGTGCAGTTGGAAGAGCTCTAGCTGGCGACGTTGCATGGATTCTTAACTCTGACTGCTCGCTGGAATCACCTGGACAGCTTTAGACACTGATGTCTGGGGTCCACTCCGTGGAGCAAGAGTTTGAAAAATCCGAAGGCGATTGTAGTATGCAGCTAAAGCTAAGAACCAGTGAACTAAAGCTCAGGAAAGACAAAACTACAAAGAATGATAAAGTCCTACTTTGGGAAACAGGTCAACACTTTCATTCAAAAAGCTCAAATTGCCTACTATAAGCAAGGCACTGTTCCTAATAAGAATAAAATACAGTTACTGCCCCGAATGAACTCATGTTCCAATGGAAAAATCAGAATGTTTAAATTATTACAATACGATGTTGTATGTTCTATAATTATGTCACTTTCAACATGCTATGGGAGTACAACGGAGTCAGCAATCAACTATGACTGGGAACTGTGGGAAAGACTTCCTATAACTGGTACACTTGAAAAATGAATACTTTCTCAAGAAAGGAGAGTGCAATCTAAGCAGAGAGACCAGAAGATAAAAGCAAAAAGAATCAGTAGTAAGAAGATGAATGACTGGTGGATAAGTTTCAGGGATTAATAATATACTTGAGGTCAGTTTGTGGTAGACTTAGTTCTGTACTAAGGGATTTGGCCTTCCTAGAAAATTAGAACTTGATTAAAGTCACAGCATCCAAGACAATTTTTTTTTTTGCTGTTCTCTTCGGTGTGGTGGTTTTTATTGTCCATTTAATCTTATACTGAGAGTGAAAACTTGGGCGTCCTGAAGTTGTTCCCTTCTAGAATTCCCCAATCATTGACAGACCCTAGGCTTTCTCTTTACTGTTCCAAGTAGCTGTCATAGTGGAAGTTTATGTTTTCCAGGATTTAGTAATATAAGAGTCAGGTTTGCTGCTCATTTTTCAGGATTCTACCTCTTTTTATTTTAAAAAATCTTTGCAAATTCCTCACTTGCATGCCTGCTTACCAGTATGTTTGTAAGTCAAAGTGTCAGCATTTTTAGTTTCTTCAATTTAGGAGGGTTGTTCAGGCTGTCTAATCTGCCATGTTACTGGGAAGATTAAGATAATTTTAGCTGATGTCCTCAAAAAAGGAAGAGCATATGGCAGCTAAGCAGCCAAGAAGTGACAGACATCCAGCTTGTTTAGGGTAAAACAGATGTCTTCTAGGCCCACCAGCTTCTAGGTTCTTCCAAATTGCATGTTCTGACTAACTGCTACTATGTAACAAACCACTCCAAATGTAGTGGCTCAAAACATCTTATTAGGACAAATTCTGTGGGTCAGGAACTCAGATGGGCACAGAAAGGATGGCTTGTTTCTGCTTCACATTTCTCTCAGTTGGGAAGATCTGTGTCTGGCTCCCAGACTTACTGGGTTTGGGGGTACTGTTTGCCAGAGCCCCCACATGTAGCCTCTCTTTGTACTTGGACTTCCTCACAACATGGTGGTGGCTTCAAGGCAATCAGGCTTCTTACTGGGCAGCTCAGGACTACAAGAGAGTCCTGGTGAATAATATAGAATTTGCATGGCCTTTTATGATCCAGCCTCAAAAATCAATAGTGTCACTTATTGATTAAAGTAGTCACAAGAAATCCCAGCACTTTGGGAAGCTGAGGTGAAAGAATTGCCTGGAAAAAAAAGAAAGACAAAAAAAAAAAAAATAGTCACAAGATTGCCCAGATCCAAGGGGAAGGATCATAGTCCCTACATCTCAAAGGGAAATACAGTCATCTCTTGGAGTCCTTGGAAATTGGTTCTAAGACTCCTTGCAAATATAAAATCCATAGATGCTCAGTCCCTGATATAAAATGAAATGTATTTTCATATAAACTACACATATTGTCCATCTAATTTACATTATCTTTAAATTACTTGATATCTAGTAAAATGTAAATGCGATGTAAATAGCTGTTATGATGTATTGTTTTTTATTTATATTATTTTTTATTATGCTGTTATTTTTTCTGAATATTTTTTTTTTTCCTTTTTTTTTTTGAGTAAGAGTCTCATTCTGTCACCCAGACTGGAGTGCAGTGGTACGCTCACAGTCACCACATCCTTGATCTGCTGGGCTCAAGTGATCCTTCCACCTCAGTCTTCCAAGTAGTTGTAACTACAGGTGTACCCCACCACATCTGCTTAATTTTTCTTGATTTATTGTAGAGATGAAGTCTCGCCAAGTTGCCTAGGCTAGTTTTGAACCTCTGGGCTCAGGCAGTCTTCTCCACTTCGCCTCCCAAAGTGCTGGGATTACAGACATGAGCCGCCGCAACCGGTTTCTATATATTTTCTATCCACAGTTGGTTGAGTCCTCAGATGCAGAACCTGCAGATAGGAAAGGCTGACTATATCAGATAATTTGTGGCCATAAAAAAAAAAAGACTGCCACATAAGATTTCAACTTTTCTCTTTTATGTGTTTTTATATGAGAGTGGTAGTAATCTGGGGTGTGTGCCATGTAGAAAAAGAAAAGGGTCACTTGTAATCAGAGGTTCTGCCAGTAGCTTTGCAGTGTTCATATTTCAACTGATACTTTTTCTGTGCCTTGATGTTCTGTTTGCCTGTGTTGTAGCCACCTGACCCACTGCCTGAGTGCTACAGGTTGCTTTTTATAGCAGTCTCTGATACTTCCAGGATCTGTCTTCCCGGGTATTTTTTAACCCTGTCTCTCAAAGCATCTATTTCTTTGCTTCTGCTATTTGGTACTGTCTGTCAAGTTCTTTAATATTTCCAGAATATCTCTTTCCCTCCCTTCCTCTCTCTCAAGAAAGTGTCTAAAAGCAGGTGGCCTTTTTAGAGTGGTACCTTAGCAGAATGGCATGGGCCCTTAGTGATAAACATTTTCACTTTACCACACAGTTTATGAGGAAGGAGATGGTTGGTCCCCTAGCAAAGGGGTTTGGGTACTTAGTAATACTATTCATTTTATACTACCAGTTCTCACTCCTGGAATACCTGTATATCACCTGGAAGCTGGGTGGATGGGGAGAAAGATAAATATTCAGGCACAGCATCACACTGTATCTGAAAAACATTGCCTCTTCTGATACCTAGGTTTTGTCCCAGGTCAGACTGGCTCTTTACTTCTGGATTTTTGTTTGTTTAATATCTTTTCGCAAAAATGGCTGCCATTGCACATCTTTACTTCACCAGAAATGATTGTATATATGTGAGATACAATTGTGAACAGGTTTCTATTTGTACCATGGGCCCACTTACCCAAGCAAGTCTTAGGGTACGTACGGGTGGTGTTGCTCTAACATCCTACGTTAGACAAGGAGGTTCAGGCTGCCAGATCACACAGAGGATGTCTAGGAGTCTTTCCACTTCAGTTCTGCCTTATAGCAGCACCAGATAGTCACTCACACTTTTGTTTCATATAATTCTTAAAGTTTCTTTAATGCTTTAGACTAGAATAAGCTGTCTTCTTCAGGCTGATTTCATTTAGAGAGATGCTCTTGCTATCCGCTCTTCCTCTGAATGGTCTAGTTTATCGATATTTCTCTTAAAATCTGATGTCTCCTATTATCCCTTCTCCATGTCTTCCACAGTAATAGAATTTTTAGCTGAGCACAAGAATAACATGACATTTCCCTGAAGCTCAATGTGGTCATGTGTTATGGTAAATGGTATGTAAGTGGATGTGTTACATAGTACCTTCTAACAACTTTCCTTAAAAAAAGAGCTGGTTTGGAATAAAAAGGGAGTAAACTATTGATACACATGACAATGTGGAGGACTCTCAAGGGCTTTATGCTGAGTGAAGGAAGTCAGTATCAAAAAATTACACACACTTTTTCTTTCTCTTTCTCTCTCCTTCCTTCCTTCCTTCCTCCCTTCCTTCCTCCCTTCCTTCCTTCTTCCCTTCCCTTCCCTTCCCTTCCCTTCCCTTCCCTTCCAATCCCTCCATCCAGGTCTCACTCTATAGCCCAGGCTGAAGTGCAGTGGCATGATTATAGCTCACTGCAGCCTAAATCGACTTGGGCTCAGGCAGTCCTTCTGTCTCAGTCTCTTGAAAAGCTTGAATTATAGGCAAATGCCACCAGACCTGGCTAACTTTTTTTTTTCTTGTAGCAACAAGGTCTCACTCTGTTGTCTAGGCTGGTCTTAAACTCCTGGAATCAAGCAGTCCTCGGCCTCTCAAAGTACTGGGATTACAGGTGTGAGCCACTGTGTATGCTTTGTATTGTTCTATTTATATGACATTCTGGAAAAGGCAAAATTATAGGGACAATGATAGAGCAGTGGTCACAAGAGGTTGTGGTGAGAGAAGTGTCTTACTACAAAAAAGCAACAAAAGGAACATTGGGGTAATGGAGAACCTCCAGGATTGTGGAGACTGGAACTCTCCTAACAGTACTTTGAGATCAAATGGCACAATATAGCACTGAGCAGGAGAGGGAACATTCCTGATAAGCTACTTATTCACTCCTGGGTA